TCTGCCACCTCTAATGGGGTGAAAACACAGGAGCTACCTTCAACCTCACACTGCAGAGGCACTTGCAGAGCAAGAGCTAATGGCTGGCAGGGCAGAGCTGCCTCCAGCGGCGAGCAGCGAGCTGCAGGAGGTGATGGCATGGCAGACCACAGACCAGCAGCACCGCTGGCTCCATCCCAAAGCCACAGGACAGGCCCAACATAAGCCATGGCTTCTCACGTCACTGTGTCTTTAGGAGAAAAGGTGGGTGGGGGTACAGGCTGGACAAACAGGCAGAGACAGGGAAGCACCTTGCGATATCACACAGTATCACAGTATGCTAGAGATTGGAAGGGACCTCGAAAGATCATCTAGTCCAGTCCCCCTGCCGGAGCAGGAACACCCAGATAATGTTAATATGCTGGGGCATATTAATAACATTGAAGATACACAGGATTTTCTTGGAAACAGATTGCTCCAAAGTAACCAGTGTTTCCAAAAACTCAAAATACAATCCTGCACAGAGAAGCCGAAAGGCTTTGTGAGACTCTTGGGCAGTCCAAGTTTTGTGAAGCTGTGGCTTTGCTATGATGCTGCGTTAGGAGTTCATTGGAAGGTGGCAGAAGGCAGGAGATTGCTTTGTTTGAGGCTAAAAAAGTACAAAATAAGGGGTTATTGGCTCCATAGAACACAGGGACTAATGCGATGAAATTGGGTCACATCAGTGTATCTGCACCCAAAGCAGCACTGGGAAACGCTTCCAGCACTCTGCAAGAAGAGGAGTCTGAGGCTTGTTCCTACAAAAGGCAGGGGCTAGGGGATTCTGTGCCCCACAGTGACTGCTTGTGGTGTGAGGCTCCTGCTCAAAGAAGGAAGCTGAGCCGCTGGTTGCTGCTCTGTACCAGCTCTGCACAGCCCCGGCTTCCACACCCCTTCCCTGCCACTGTGCATGTGCAGAAGTTGGGAAGAGAGCGTGGAGAAGCTGGAACGTGCTAAGAGCAGCACAAAGCTAAACCGATGGCAGGTAACTGGCAAAATAGATATAATACAAACAGCAGCTGAATGCGTTGGTCCTTCCTGCTGAGGAGCGCAGGTGGAGGTTTATAAGACACCTCGTAAGAACTGCAAAGGTGGGAAGAATCCCTGGCGCTTCTGCAGCAGCTCGGAGCAAGGCTGTGAAATGGGGGCTAAACCGCAGGTCCTAATTCCTGCCTTGTGCAGGAAACAAGGCACACGATGGCTCTGTTGCCTAGCTCACATTGTGGAGGAGCATACCGTGTGCTTCTGGAGAGCCTCAAGCAGGCAGTGCCACCCAGCACTGAACTGTCCTCCATAACCTTCAAGCCTAGAGCCCGCCAGGCAGGTGCACTGGACAGTGACGGCAGCACAGCAAGAGCCTCCCAGAGCCAGCTCCGGGAGACCTCACTCACCAGAGGCCAAGAGGGCAGATGTTGGGGCTAACCTTGGCCAGAGCAGACCTGGTTCTCACAGCAGCTCTCTAGAGGACCTGGACAAGAATAGGGGACCAGTTACAGCCCTGAGCCGGGTGTGGAAGTTCCCCCCCCCCAAGAGGCACTCCAGCGTTTCTCACCCTGTTGTAATTCTTGTTGCTGTGTGGGTGGCTCACTGCAGGTGAAACCAGCAGTGGCTGAGATGGGGAGAAGCAGCCAACCTCAAACTCTTCAGCTGATACCAAATTCCCCCTTGTGTAAGAGCTGGGGAAACAGCCACAAGTAGGAAAGTCCCAGTGACAGGTTAGACACTGACTCAGTAACCTTCAAGCAGAGGACAAACAACAGACTGCTGTGAATGCCTGCTCTTATGCAATGGGGCACAGACAGGACCACGGAAGCTGCTGATCCACCACAGATCAGGGACAGGAACTCCTTAGGGTGCCTGCCACACTCCATGCACAGGTCTAGGACAGTCATCCCTGTATCAAGGACAGGCTGTGGGTCACAAGCTGTACTCTACCAACTCTTGCCATTACAACTGCCTCTCTGCATTCAGCATACAGAATTTTAGGGCTCCTGCACAGCTGCTCAGTTCTGTTAACAGCAGAGCAAAAAAGGAAACGGTGCTCCTGCCCCCACAGCAGCACTTGGCTCCCACCTCTGTTCATCCAGGGCTGCAGCCAGTTTTTCTTCTCTGTCTTGCAGTCTTGCTGGTGGGGCAGAAGGCAGCTGTGTGGACAACTCCGTGTTGTAGAAAGCAATTGGAGGGACAAGATAGAAACAGGACAGCACAAGGGACAAACAGAGCAAAGCACCTTTGGCCAGAGTTCAGCAGAGCTGCAAAGTTCCTCTCAACATTCCTTTCTCAGCTTGTCACAAGAATACTCAGGACTTGGAAAACCAGCGGTGCTGCTGATGGCTGTTACTGAGTACTCAGACAAAACACACTGAGGTGGAGCTTCAACTTTGCTTAACTGCGTTGGCGAGGTACCTGGGCAGTGTCCTCTTCCTCACCTGGCTGCTCTGCAGCACGGATGCTTTGTGTGTGTGGGCGTACTGCACGGGCACAGCTCCCCGGAGAATTAGTCAAAACCACCTATTCTTTGTGAAAGCAACGGTATGCAGAATTACACACCTCTGTCAGAGCTCGAATGCAAATGACACACATCACGCTCCTTAAGGAGTTTTCTACATAAAAGACATGGCTACAAGAAAGCAAACTGCCCGCTCAGTCCCTGCTCACTAAGGAGTCACATAATTCTAATCACAGGAAAATGTTAGGGAGCAGGACTCTGGAAATCACAACCCCCTCAATTTGGTTCTCTCACCCTTTGCTCCTTTGCTATGCTACTGCTATTATGCAACACCTAAAAGAACTTGTTTTCTTAGATGAAAGTTTGTAGCTCACGATGGGTAAGTGCTTGCATCCTGCCTGAACAGTGCAGGGTCCCAAAGCAAGATGCAGAGACAAGTTATTTAAAAAGCTTGCCCCTCCTTTATCCTAAATCCTCTTGTGGTTATTGTTGGTTTTCCACAGGCAACAAGAAGCCTTACGATTGACAGGAATTTGGTAACAGCTGTTCCACACAGGTCTGCATTTCTGAGGAGCCAACACTGTTCAGAACGAAAAGGCGTGGCTGTGGCACTCTGCAAAGGAAAAGCATGCACCAGAACTAGCTTCTCCTGAACTGGGAATACACCTGCTTTTCTCAGGAACCCATTTCACTCATGGTGAGTCAGGTTGCTAGTACCTGGTAGGCAGCCAGGTAAAAAGATGTGGAGGGGGACTGATGGGGTAATGAAGTGCTTTATAACTAGGCTAAAACTTGGCACTAGCCCCCACTTGCACTGCAGTCTTACAAACACACTGGAAAAGACACAGAATATACTTACTGTGGTCAGTAATTCTCTGTCCTGGTAAGAGCCCTGTGCTAGCTAAAAGGGCCACACTTGGAGGGTCCCAGCAGCCAGAACAAAGCTTCTCTCTCAGGAGGGCTGCTCTGCAAGCACGCGCTCAGGCCAGTGCACCTCACTGGCAGCCTGGGGCCAGCCCAAGCCACAACCCCTCACACTCTGGGCAGATCATCTCAGGCTGGAAACCCATCATTGAAACCTCCCTGTGTTTTATAGCGCTGCAACCACTGTGGGTGGCAGGAGTGGAGGCACTGGAGGATGGAGCATGAGCTGCAGACATGAACCATGCCTGTAGCAGCACAGGCCAAGCTGCCCACCTGCCCCAGAGTCCATCACCAGCTCTGCTGTATGCAAAGGCACAGGAATAGGGCTCACCCTTCTTGAAGAATTACAGTTTGATTTCACCAGAGAAATACTGAAGGGAGAAAAGGGGAAGAATACCCACACACAGAAAGCCATCCAACAGAGGTCACAGCTATGTAGAAGACAAAGCCAGGGAAAGGCAGGATGAAGCTGATCCAGCCAAGTGCAAGCCTTTCAGGAGGATTTCACCAAGAGCACAAGGGAGAGTACAGGAGCAGAAGGGGAAGAAAGCATCACTGGTCCCTATGCCTCCCTTAACACCCCAGCAACCAGTAAGTTACCCATTTTGGGCAGCTGCAGTGACTAGCTGTGGGATTTTGCTTCAGCTTGACTTTGCTTGGATTTAGGGAAGTGAGGCTTATTCATGAGGCAGACCACGGCCTCTGCCTCTGCATCTTCCTGTTCCACCATTTCAGTGCAGGTTTGGTTGATGGGTCCTAGAAAGCCTCTTCATCCATCTGCCTCACACCCCTCCCACTTCACAGAGTCTGTGCTCATGTTACAGGCAGCAGTGACTCCCCTCGTGCAAAGAAAGAGTAATTCTGATAGAAATAAACCTCACCTGCATGGAAATAAAACTCACCCTGACATTTCCAGTAAAAATAAGTAACATGTTCACCAACACCTTACCTACAAGCAGCGAGATCTTTCACCAATCACCACCTTAGTGAAAGTGAGCTACAAACCAGTGCCTATGATTAACTATATAACTAAATATTGACCATTACATCTGAATACAGACATTTCAGTGCGTGCCTCTTTCCAGCGCTTACAAACGTTTTTTTTTACTGCTGCAAAACTGATGGGGAGATACCTCTCCCACTTGGCCAAACCGAACTTTGAAGCAAGATTTGCAGTACCAAAATCTCACAAACCACATTAAACCAGTTTCTGCGCTCAGCATTATGGCTTCCTTATGCACGGCAATGTAAATAAGGGTTTCTAACCTAATAAGAACATACATACGTATTTTAGTACACATAAAGCGTCTAACTATTCTGCATCACTGCCAGCTGACTGGGGTGGAAGGTACCACATCAAAATGTATAATGCCTTAGAAATGTGCAGTTAGGAGTAAAACTTCTTGAATAATTAACCAACAACAAGCATAAGCTGTCTTAAAGAACCAAAAAAAACCCCTCCATCAATTAAGGGGGTCTGACCTTAAACTGATAAACTTCCTGGGAAAACATTGCTTAGAAGTACCTGATTCCACTGACAGCTGTAGAAGCATGAAATAACTTCTTGCTTCTACAAAATAAAAAACTAATCATCAGTAACAGCATTGCGTAAGCTCAAATAACAGGAATCTTTATTTTGGGTCTTGACTGAGCATGTGTAGAAACAATATCCCATGCTGGGGCTAGGCACACAGGACCTCCCTCCTCCCTTCACCCCAACAAATAAGTTATGGAAGCTTCCCTTTGATGTGCACCTACATCCTACTTCCAAGTGTGTCAGCATCTGCTGCATCACCTCTGTGTTCTTCCCAAGTAACACAGAGCTAGGGCATAACCGCAGGAGCTGAACCAAGAACTCCTACATTATGCAGCTGCTTCTGACTTTAGAGAACAGTCAAGGCCAGAGAAGCTTTAGCTCTGGCTTTGCAACCCTGACCGATCTGTAGCTGCAATTGTTAGGTACCAACCCCTACTGTCCCCAGGGGCCTGCATCACATACTGGTTGCCAGCCCCGCAGCAGGGCACGAATATCGCATCCCAACTGAATCCTTGTTTGAGCTGCAGCAGCCCTCACTTCAGTCAAGATTGGAAGAACAAGCAACATTTCAATCTGCGATACAGTTTGTTTCCAAGGACTGGTTTGGTGCAGCCCTGGCACATGGCTAGGCAACCTTCATGTAGCAGTTGTCCTCCTGGACAAGGCCTTGTACACAATTCGTTTTTCTTTCATTCTCCCTGTTTTCCCTTAAAAGCTCTACTGGTCTTTTTTGAACTGCAGGCGCCAGTCTGGAAGCCTCACCGTGAACGGTGTGAGAATCAGCGGGACAGGAGTTATCCACGGAAAGAGGAGGCATCAGCTTGTCTGAGACCAGGAGCTCTTGGGGCTCTGCAGTTTTTCTTTCCAAGTTTAGCCCAGTGCTGGCCAGTGATTTTTTTGGTAAAGCAGCTGCAGAGCTGCACCCCCTGCCTACTGCGGGCTCCATCACCTCCTGATTTTCCCCTGCATTGCCATGTTTCCTCAAGTGGCTGTGCATGTGGCAGCAGAAGGCAGTATTCAGTCTGTTACTGCTGCTCTCCTGCATTCCTTTACCAGTACACTTAAAGCTGTTAGGCTTTGTCCCCTTTGTAGTTCTCTCTCTGCTGTTAAAATCTTGACAGTTCGGCTCTAACACATGCAACATCAGCTCTTCTCTGCTGGTATTTTCATCTTTGCTATGACCAGACAGCTCATGAGAGTTCATGATCCAAAGGCTGCCACCACCGGTCTGTGCAACATCCTCACTAAAGACTAAATCTGGGACAATTCTGCCATCAAAACCCTGCGCAATCAAACATATGTGGTCATCCATCCTCAGGTCAGGTTCACAGATCATCGTTTCTGGAGGTGTTCCTCTCAGGTTGTTGTACAAAAGATGAGTGAAGGATTTGCACCGTGACCTGGAGATAACCTCACTGTCATTGTTATGGTATGTACCATTACACTTAACTACATTATCAAAAGGTTGATAACCAGATGGCTGAGGTCCAGTGAGGCAAGAAATAACATTGGCTTTCTTTTGAACAGTTTGGTATGTTACTTGGTTATGTATTTCTTCTTCTGGCAGGAAAGCTGAAGCACTGTCATTTGCATGTGTGGGGAAAGATGGAAAATCACTATGTTCTGAAGAGGTGCTGCAAACATCAAGCTCAGTGCAGCGAGATCTGTAGTTGGTATAACATGTCTGATTGCGAGGGGGCTGATAAATTTGATCTCTGCAGCTCAGTTCTGGTGTGTCTGAAAACCGTGTTAAAGGTGGCGAGGAGCACACATTTTCAAAGTATAGAGTCAGGCTACTGTCAGCCACAGACTGAGACATAAGGGTGTCAAAGCTCTTGTAGGCAGAGCCACAGGGCTCCATGGATGGAGACGTAAGGGTGTCAAAGCTCTTGTAGGCAGAGCCACAGGGCTCCATGGATGGAGACATAAGGCTGTCAAAGCTCTTGTAGGCAGAGCCACAGGGCTCCATGGATGGAGACATAAGGCTGTCAAAGCTCTTATATGCAGAGCTACACAGCCCCATGGATGGAGATGTAAGGGTATCAAAACTCTCGCATGCAGAGTTGCTTACTCTGTCTTTTTTGGTCCCAAATGATGGTTTATTTGGAGATTCCTGGATCAGGACACACGAATCATGCTGACTTTCAGAACTGCATGGAAAACGGCTTTGATGAACCATATGTTGAAGTTTTCTTGCATCCAGAGCAGCAGAATTAATGCTGGAGCTGTGATAGCCAGATTCTTCGGATTGTTCTGACTTCTTGCTGGCTGTACTACAATTGTAGTCATCTTGAGAAGCTCTGGTGAAAAGGGAAACATCACACAGCTGCTGACTCTGGGCTGTGCTTTCATTTGTATTTTGCTGCGAGGGATTTTCTGACTCAGGTTTCTCAAAGGTTTTGTTCTCACCCATGATGATGTCTGGGTCTTTATGGTCTTGCATATTTTCATCTGCCAGGAGCTTAATAAACATGCTAGCAAGCACATCGTGTTCAGTGTGCTCTCTGAAAGCACTGACACTGCTCTCGGAAGGCTCAAACACAGCGATATGGTCTCTAGTTTCTTCCTGGTGCTCAGCCTCAATGTCTGTTAAGCGTTCACAGATTTCTCTCGGCTCTTCAACCAGAATTGTCTCAGGGGTTAAAACTGCGCTGCTGCCTTTCAGAAACCACTCTCCAGACTTGTTGTGGCAACTGCAAGATTTCTCAATATTTCTGGTGTTATGATTTCCCTTGAAGCTTTGGCTTGACAAGATTTGAGCCAGACAGTTCTTGCAACTTCTGTTTTTGGAAATCAGAAGAAAAGGAGAGTTAATGTTTATGTAAGAGGGAACTATTTCATGCTGTAAAGCAGCTTGTTCTTTTTCCTCCTTTGTTTTACTTACATTTCCTTTTCCATATGATCCTGTTTTAAGTCGTGGAAAGGGAGCTTAATTTCATCAATGTAGCACAAAACTGGAAACTAATAAAGATACAAATGAGATTTAGGACACATGTGAATTGTATTTCAGAACCCCTGCACTAGCCAGACAATAGCACTTATTACATATTCTACTTCTGGTGATCAGGAAAAGGTTTTTTTGCAAAGCCTTTAAGTTACCTTGACATTTTTTACGACCAAATGGCTCTTTGCTGGATTTGGGATTTGATCCCACCATTCTTTCTTCACTCTGCAAGGGAAGAATTAGAATTATTTGCTTTGACTGCATTTTGGCTTGATCAATGTGCACGTCCCTCTTCTGTTCTTCTCTCCCTCTTAGCCACCTGCACTGCAGCAAGAGGAAATGCTTGTTGTGTACATCTTCAAGTGCTGCTTTTCATTCAACTATTGCAGAGATATTTGTATGTTTGGTGCATGACTGCTCTACAAAACCAGTGTCACACATTCTTCTAGTCATGTTTGAACTGATGCACAAAACAGATGGGATCCCACTTTCACATTAACACTAAGAAATTTAAACATAAATACAGGTATTTGACCATCATTATTGGAACTCCAGCAAAAATGGGCCAAAACCTGATAAACCCCAGAACTGCAACCTGTTTGGACACTCTAACAAGCCCATTCTGATGAGATTAATAGAGAATATTCAGCTATCAACTCGGAAAATGAGAGTGCAACTGATTCATTTTTATAAAACGTTTGCTTGTAGAGAGCCAGATACAGGTGCTGAGGAAAAGCAAATCCTTAGATTCCTGACCAAGACGCTCAGCTAACTGACAGCAACACTGCTGTCCGTGCAAAGCGCTGCTCTGGGAAGCCCGTGGACAGCACGCTATGTACCTGGTAAAACAGAAGTAACAAACGACAGATAGTGCCACGATCAGAACGCAGGACACAGGAACAGCCATCTGCAGAATGTCTTCAGCTGTCACTCGGTATTCTGTTAAACACACGTGTACACTTACATGTGTATGTGCATCTAAATACAGGTACTGGCAATACAAAATTCATTGCTGCTCTTCTGCGCCTTAAAAGATGCTCTTCAGAGGATGTAAAATCAAGTCACCAGCAGATAAACAACAGAACATAAACAGCTACTCGTGGTGATGGTGTGTGGCATATCTGACACATCAGTGCAGATACTGCAGCCAGTTATGGTGTCAGGAGCCAACAGTCTGTACTGTGAGGCCATTTGCAAGCTCTCGCGGACAACCTCTCACACAATCCCTAACAATATCATCTCCTCTGTAGTGCATCTATGCTTCTTGTCCCCTCTGTTGCTCTTCAGAGGCTTCCAAAACCCTCAGCTCTCTGCTAGCTAAAGTATTGCTTAATTTGCAGCCTAAATATGTCTTGTTCATTCACACCCACTTGCTCTTATGTCAGTGGTGGTTTTTAGTTTAAACCTCTCTTCTTCCCAGGTGTCTACTTCATGAAATATTTATAGAGAATAAACCCATTCCCTTTCAGCCTTTTTTTCCACAAGGCTAAGCAATCCTACTTCCCTTAGTCTTCTCTTCCTGTTTCCCTTTTTATGTTCAGTCTGTTTGGAAGCCTTTACAGGTGTATCCACAATACATTCAAAAGGATGGAGATGTCGATTCATAACCCTTCTCCGAGATCTGAGGGCTTGTCTGTAAAACTGTACCATCCCTTTATCCAGCTGGTATTTGTTACAATACTCACCATAGTAAAATTCAACTTCTTCACTCCATTCACTCCAGTAGGCCGGGTAGTCTGTATAGTTACACCTCACACTTGCAACGTAATCATAGCCTCTCCTCAAGGAGCTTGCAGTGATTTCAAAGCTTTTTGCCTGGTAGTTAATTGCTTTTACAAAAACCTGAAAAGGAGATGAGAAATTTCCCTTTGGTTTCCTTCTGAGGTGAAGGGTCAGTGACAACAACTAAGTAACAACAGTGTTACGTGTTTCAGTGGCCCTTCACAAGTGAGCAAATGAACGACCATGTACCTAATCTGGTGTATGAGATACTGCATTTTGCTGTCATGAGTGGGTGACATCTGTGACATGCCACCAAGCGTGTTCTCCCCCTGCCAGAAAAAGCCTTGTCCTAAAGTGCTGGGAAGTGGCTGAAATGCCTCAACTGCACCACGGAGTCATGAGCAGCTTCCAGCTTCCTGATGCCTAAGGAGCAAGTTAAGTTCAGGGAACAGAAAATACAACAGTGTTGTATTTTCAATCTCTGCTCTGTCTACTGTGAGCAGCAGACAATTCTGGGGTGGCAGTCGGAAAAGTATCAATCCTTTGAAGCCCTGCTGAACCACTCTGCGACAACATGACCTGCAGCAATACCTTTATTCATTAAAAGGTTTCTAGACTTTTCAGAGGACTTTTTAGGCCTGAGAACTCCAGAGAGACAGAAAATGAAGAGACTGGCTTTCTCTTACCTCTGTTGGGTGCCGTTTCCTCCAGTATTTCACTTCATGGATGACTGGCTGTCCAGAGAGCATGGATGGAGGAGAGTAGCTCTCCTCCCAGCTCAGATTGAAATTACCATTTTCAGCTTTCTCAATGGCAAGGTTTTGGGGGGCTCTTGGCTTAACTGTACATTAAAAAAATACAATCAAGAAGAATGGCAATAGCAAAGCACTGATGGAGAGAAGCAGAGACAAACATTCACTAGAGACCAGAATCTCATCACAGTCAATGCATTTAGCCCTTTCACTGTATAGCACAAGGATATACAAGCCAAAAAACCAGCAACTGCAAGGTATTCATTAACAAGCACTAACTCTTCAAGCTGGCTGAAGACACTGTAAGTTCAACCTTTTGGTGCACAGGATGCAGCTTTCAGCCTGGAAAAATGCAACGATGCAGACGAATGCCTGCCTGAGGTGTGTGACTGATTCTCTGAGTGCTTGAGGTGACAAGTGTTATGAACAAGCACGCTGTTATAAACAAACAAGGTGCCTGTAGAAAGATATAAACTGTTCCTATGCTCTGTCTTGTGAAGAGCAGGGTCATTACCTTCTTTTCACTGGTTGTTAGAATCCAACAGCAATTATAGTACTAATTTCTGCTTGTGGGGATGACTCAATTTGTATGAAAAATCAGAGTGTGGCAGAGGCACGAATAGAAGAAATTTCAGCAAGGATAACCTAGTGTCTTTCTAGAACTTAGAAGAAGGAACATTCCTCTTCATCCCTGAATTCCATGGCCACAAGTGAAAACGCATTAAAGACATGTCTGAGCCCCAGAATTGCTGCTTCCTGGCAACTGAGAGGGTACTGCTAGAGGAAGAATTACTCCCTGCTTGCCTTATTACTTAGACCCTTAAGAACCTACTCCAGAATCAGGTTTCTAAGCCAAATAGAGTTTGCATTTAAGCCAGCATGACACTTTTCACCTCCAATAAGGGAGGACCATTCCAGTGACTTGAATGAGGAGTCAGCTAGGATTGCAAAGCCTGCAGCCAGATGTCCTGGTGACAAAGTAAACAGTTTCTTACCAACCAGGGCTGGTGTAACACTGTAATTCCACATATCAGTCCCATTGTACTGTAGAGCTAGAACATATGTGAGACCTGATACAAAATAATCCGGACATATTGTGCAAGTGCACCTTAAACTCTCTTTTCCATTCTTGGGGACACACACACTGTTTCTGGAAAACAGACAAAATTATGTGATGTTTAGAGAGTGTGGCACATTATTTCTTGAAAGGGTGAAAGCTTCCCAATGCGCAGAGCTAATCAAACCTGAGATACATAAGCTCAGTTCCTGGAAATGTTTAGCCCAAACAAATCCAAACCAAAACTGAGCTCCCCCAGACAACCTGTCCTGCCCAGACACCCCTTGGGTATCTGTATTGCACAGATAAAACCTGACAGAGAGGCTGAGGACTGATCTCAAGAGGGAAAATTAACAGCCTTCATCACGCTCCAACCTCTGAAGGAGCAGACTGGCAGCTTGCTAGTATACAAGCAGGTTTACTATGGTGTACACAGCGAGGTTGTTTGGATGTCTGTGTGCAGAAATCACATGGAGAGGAACAGGAGAGCACAAACACATCTTCCTTTGTAGGAGATGACAACTGGCCCTGCTGCAGAACAGGGACAACAGCCTGTGTTTGAACATGGAGTTAGACTGTGAACAGAGATAATCACCTGGGCTGCAGGGGAGAGTACCTTTCACACAGGCTGTGTATGGGGAATCAGGTTAAATTTCTCCTGAAGGAGGTAACATTTTCCATGAAATTAAGGTTTGGTAAACTTATGTGAGCCCCACCACTGCTACAGGTGGGACTTGATCACTCCTCTATTCTAAGTGTGCAGAGGTCTGCAGAAGAACAGACCACCGACCAGTGTGCTGCAACCCCTCATCCTCCGGGCAAGAATAATAACCAGGATTACATTTGTCTCAGGCACTCATGGTAGAGAGAGGCGATCAGAGCAGATACCAGCTAAAAGACAGACGAAATTTCAACACTGGTAACACCTTATTAAATACTTACGGCAGAGAAAAAAATTCTTTCCTGTAGTAGAGGAGGAATTCTTTGGAGCAATTCATGTGTGCAGGCACCTTCCAGTGACAAACCAGCTCTTTGTCATAGTCTGTGAAGCACGCAAATTCCTGCACATGTCCTGCAGCCATGACTAGGGAGAAGCAGCACACAAGGAGATGCAAAAGAATAAAAAAATCCACTAGGCAGAAACATTCACTTTTCCATCTAAAGGGAGTCACCAACCCCTGTGAATTCAGTGCAAGCATTGTTATTTTTCATGTTAGAGGTAAATGCAAAGAGATGCAAGTCACCAAATGTCTCCACCTTTCTGGAGACATTTAGTGTGAGGTGTTCCTGTCCATGGCAGGGGGGTTGGAACTGGATGATCTTAAAATCCTTTCCAACCCTATTCTGTGATTGTCTATGGTCTGACAGGATAAAGGCCTGCAGTAGTAATAGTGAAATAGAAAGGCACAACTCAGCCAACATCCTTCCAAGCCTAGAAAATCTGATTCTGATAGCTTTTAATTTAATTGCAAAACATTTAATTACAAGACAGCATTATCCTATGTGTTAAATACAAAACATTCAAAAGCCGAAATGTAGATAATTAACAACCCAAAATCACTGCCCACAGGCACGCACTCCTGCTTTACCTACAATGGTTCTAAGCCTCCCAATGCATGTCCTCTGCCTCCCCAGAGCAGTTCCCCTGTTGCCTAGAAGAAATTCCTATCACAGACTTTCTCCCAGTATACCCCTTTTCTTAATTTCACTCAGTATTTCCAGTTCTGTCTTCTACTTTTCACTGTTATGACAGTATTCAGAGACTTGGAGAGATTGAGTCGCATCGTTCCAGGCACTGAGAAGGTTCAGCAAAGCCCAAACTCTCTGCACTCCCAGTGTTCACAATTACAATCTTCCACTAGCACCATTTAAGGAAAAAAAAAACCAAAACAACCATACAAAACATTGGTTAAACTCTCTTTGCCAGTTCTGGGAAGGGAAATGGAATACGCAACCCTCAGCACCCCCCCCGCCTCATTTTACACTCCTCCCATGCACTTGACACGAGTGAAACAAAGCGCAGAGGAGGAGCAGCTGTGTGACAGTAAGGTCATGCAGTTATCAGGACTGACAGTGAGCCAGATATGGGATCAGAATGCAGTCCTTTCTAAATGAAGCAGTCAGAAGTAGCCACTACTTTCATCATCCCAGACAATTCTTTGCCTGGTCTAATGTTTAACTTCTCTGTTATTGGTAAATATTAACAACATCTCTCTTTTCCTGCACAAGTTGTACATATCTAAATCCTCTTCTTCTGCTCAACAGTCAACAGAATTTAGAATAGCTTTTGCTGAGGCTTAGAATCCCATTAATTGATATTTTTCTGACAGCTTCCTAAGGGGCTCTGCTAGGTTTCCTACAGCAGTTATACAAGGGGCAGTTTTGTTCACAAGGCCCAGCACATTACTAACTCTCCATTCTTGTCATTTGCATTGCAAATTCAGGATTAAGTAAATTGTGAACAATTCACATCCTGTAAGGTCCTCGTCCTTCAGTCACTGCTTCTTCATAGGCTTGTTCTTTCCAATGGATACTTAAGTTTCAGATTATTCCTTCCAAGCAAAACCTTTTGTTGTCAAAAATACCTAATTTCACCTTATCCTCCACTTCTACTTTTCTGTAGTCCACTCATCTAACTTATTCTAATATAACTTCTGATACAGTACAGCATCTGCAAGTATAATAAACACGATGGTCAAATGCCTTTTAGATACATAACATACAACAGGATCTATCACCAGACCCTTTGGTACTTCAATAAAAACCTGACTCAAATGAACCCTTCACTGTTGAGTGTATGGTCTCAGTGTATGGTCTTTCACCCGCATTAAAAAGCGCACATCACTTGCACTTGCCTTTCTGCCACAAAATTTGGCGACTACACAGGCCTGAGTCATGAGAGTAAACTCAGTCCCCTCAGTGAGGCTCACTCATGCCAAGAGGAGGCTTGGCAATGTAAAAGAACCATTTAAAACTTCTGTACAAATAATAATCTGAATTGTTTGGTATATACACTGGTTCTAAACCTGGGTCTGAGGCAGCTCACAGCTTCATTGGTGTTCAGGCACTTAGAAAATGTTTTTAGTTAGAACATCAGTTGGTTGGCTGGTTAGTTTAGTTAGAACTATCACTGGTATTCTTTCTGGATAGCGGCACCACATTTAGTTCCCTTTCCTTCTGCACAGTCCCCGATTCTTAAAAAAAACCCAGGAATCATCAGAAGAAAGCAGACTTCTGAAGCCTTTTAAAGATCAACATCATTATTTTTCCATGTGTTAATGATCTTACATTCACAAGAACACTTCAACTAAACGAAGCTCCTCCTGCTGCGTTAAGCTATGCTGACTTGCAGCTTTGCTTTACCCTTCAGTGTCCTCAGGTCTTTCCAGATCTGTACATTATTTTCCCTACTCTTTTCCTGTGACCTCCCTTTTCATCTCTGGTACACCGTACTTTGTTTAAACCTCAGACATTGGAGAATTTCCTTTTGAAACCACATAGAGCACAGAGGTTGATTTCAGTTCATGCAGTTAAAAAAGGGAACTGAAATACTGGATTTATTTTTTAATCCCCAACTAGAACATCATGCTGAAGAAACCTGAAACATGCAGTTAATCAGAGAAAAAATGTGAAAAATTAAACCTTGATAAAGGTAATTTACAGAAAACGGGGGATGCATTCTCCTTTTATGGGATTTCTACAGAAATGTCCCTGGGTTACTGCTGAGCAGCCTGTTTGGAGCAAAGTGTCCAAAAGGGGTTAGGTAATGGTGAAGCAGGGAGATGACATTCCAAACTTCAGTTCTTCCTTCCTGAAAATTCCTGTTTTTTCTTGCCTATATGGAAAAGGTAAATAAAAACAAAAAAACCCAACCAAAAACCTTAGAACTTGCCCTAGGGTATTTCTGACATATTTTATAGTAGCTAATGAATGGTAATGGTGTTGCCTACTGGCCAGGGAAAATGCTGCTGACAAAAACCTCAGAATAATCATTGAAAACGTTGATAAATGTACCTTCATTTGTTGTATATGAAAAGAAAAGGATCCACAGGGTACGCGGTGCAGCACTTGGAAGCCTTGCCATCACTGACACTGGCCAGGCTCCACAGGACAAGCTGTGCTGAAATCCTGCCAACAGAAAACATTATTACAAGCTTACATCAGTGTTCCAGTGAAGGTAAAGGTGTAGTTCTTCTTATTGCTTCTGCTAGATGTTAGGATTCAGATCCCCTGCAGTGTTTCATCTCCCTAAAGTCAGCTCATGGAACAACGAGCAGTGTACAAGAATAATACAAATGAGCTCGAAGACTTTTCTGCAGAGTTTGAATTGCAGGATCCTGGCCTGGCACTGGAGACACACATTTCAGCTACCAGAAAAAACAAAGCTGCCAGTGAGGTATTGAAAGGGTAAAGACTAGACCAAAATCACTGACAAGCAACACATTTCCAAAGCCTTATGATTCCACTCAGGTAACTGAAAGAATCTAAGCGTGAAGTGTCTGACCTATTTACTGAAGTGTTTCCCCCAAGTCTTATCACAGTACCCCAATCATATTATTCTCTTGAAAAAGATCTTCGCAAAGACCTCTGAGCCCTGCTTCAGGAGAACGCAGATTCATTAAACCAGTAAATAATTAGAAGCTGTGAAACACATACCTAAGTCATGATATAACCAGCATAATTTTGGAGATGAAAGTTATGCAGCTTTCACATATTAGAATTCCTTAAGCACAGCAAAGCTGCTCAAGTAAACTGAAACAGATGAAATAATTCATTTAAAACTCTCAAAACACATGATTCCCCAAGATTCTTTTACTGTTGCAACATAGCCACACAGTGGAATATCATATTTTGGATTAGCTATGGCTACCAATGTTCATGTTATTAGAAATGTACCCAATGCGGTTAAGGTTTTGAGCTTTTCACATTTTGAAAAAAAAACATGACTGAGCATAGTAATAATTATTTGAGAAGAACACAAGTGCTTTTGCTGCTGCTCAGAAAAAAAATAAAAAAAAAAAAAAATCAAACTGCTCCAGCATACAAAAATCCTTCAGCTTTCCCCAGTTTTTCCCGGAATTCCCAAGAGAGGAAGTGTTCACTTTCCAGCCCATTGTTAAGTAACTGCTGCATGACTGAAATTCCAAGAAACTCTGCAAAGTTTGGCAGAGAGTCCTGCATCACGCAAGCCTGTGTGAATCAGAGACGGCACAGCAAAACCATCTCCCCCGGAGGAGGGAGGCTCTGCGCATGCAGCAAGCGGCGGTACCCCGCGGCTCTAACTGCAAACCCTGGGAAAACAAAACCAGAAGCTTGCTTTTCGTAACAGCAGTGGACGATGAACCCTATGCAAAGGGAGGAGATGTTAACAGGGAACAGCTTTCCTGTCTGCTAGCCCTTACGTTTGTCTCGCGCAGGATTTCCTGTCTTGTATGATCACTGAAGAAGGAACTGTACTTCACAGACTGGTGGATTTTAACGGACCAAGACATTCTTTATTCTTTTTAAATGACTGATTTTACTAATATTTTAATATCCTTTTAATCCTCATTCCACAAATTCCTTCATGTAATTTGGGATACCTCGAGCTAACGCCTTACACAACAACACACAAAGGGTATCTGCATTTCTGGAGCTGGACGGGGCACATCCGGATAAACCCCTACTGACAGAGACGGGAGAGCCTCTCAAAATGAGCAGATGGGCTCTCTGGGAAAAACGTGGATCGAGTTAGATTTGGGCGATGACTTCAGCTGAAGTTCCTGCTCTCCAGCATGTTCTCATATCGAGGTGACAGAAGTCAGCCAGGGGAATAAGGACACGGCACCCCCGTAACGGGAGGGGCCGCAGGCCGAGCCCTGCGGGTGAACCGTTACTGCAGAGACCGAACCCGGACAGGCTGGAAATAAAACCCGCTCGAAGTGCAAACCGTGAGCACCACAGCCCGGGGCAGGAGCCCGTGCTCCGCCACCTCGTCCCGCACCCGCCGGGCGGCAGAAAGGGCATTTCTGGGAATTCCATCTGTTTTGTCGGGATTCGCCTCAGCCGCGGCGCCCGAGTCCAGGGGCGAGGGACAAGAGAAAACTGCGGCGGCGCTCCCCCGGCCCCGCCGCCCCGGGACATTCCGAGCAGCACCCGGAGCTTCCCCCCACCCCGCACGGTGCACAGCGGGCGCCAGCTCGGCCCCGGCGGAGGCAACGGCGGCGCCGGCCCCGCCACAGCTCGCAACTGGGAGGAGCCCGCGCAGCCACCGAGCCGGGAGGGGCGGAGGAGTCGCCGGAGGTACCTGGCCTGGTCCGGGTCCTGCTCGGCGCGACGGGCTCCCGCGCCAGGCCTCCAGTCTGGACCGGGTCGGTACCGACCCCGTACCACCTGCGGGTCGGCCGCACACGGGAGCCGCGCTCCCCAGGCCCGCGTACTTCACCCCCAGCGGACCGGAGCTCAACGCTGCCCCTGCCACCGCCGGACGGCGCTTTACGCACGACGGGGCGGGGCCACCCCCGCAGCGGCGTCACGGGGCGGGCCCCGCGCAGAGCCGATCGATCGCAGGCGGCCGCAGCGATCGCCGAAGGATCGAGTGTGGCGGCTGCCCGAGGCTTCACCGGCGGGTTGGGCAGGCGCCCGAAGGCCGAGCGGGCGGCGAAGCAGCGGTGCCGGGAGGCCGGGCTCGGGCGGAGGCTGTCGGTCGCTCCTTTTGAAGAGGAGCCGAGGGCGCTTTGTCGCCCTGCCCGAGAAACTCCCACGCCCGGGTCCACTTCCCGCGCTCGGCCGGCGCCGCCGAGTGCCGCGGCGGGGGCGCGGCCTGGGCCTCGCTCGGCCTCGCAGGGGCCCGGAAGCTTTGTCGTTCTGGTGAGCTGTTAGCGGTGGTTTGGCTGCAGCGGTCAAGGGTATCTGGAGATGCGTTTATTTAGTTCCGGAGTTGTTCAGGACGTGTGTGTGTGGGGGGGTCTGTCCGGAGCGAGCTGCACTCCTCATTGCACAGGTCACCGAGGTGTGTGGTGAGCAGAAGCATCAACACAAACCGTGCAAGGTGTTGGTGGTTACAGATACAGCACTGCCATGCCCAGTGTGGGTATGAGAGAACAGTGCCTGTGCTCGTCTCTTCTGCAGCTAAAATTAGTTGGGCTTTATCTTTTGCATCCTTCCAAAACCTTGGAGTTAGTCACTGTCTGTGTTCTGAGAACAACCTGGGGATTTTCTTTTTGCAGTGTGCGTTCTCCATCTGCATGAAAATATGCACTGATAATGTGTATGCCTCTTGCAGCATTCAGAGCCTGGTGGAGTATCACGATGGCAGCTCATATGACTGATGCTCATCGACGGTTCCTGCAGGTCCTGATGTCTCATGGGATAATGGAAGGATCGGAGGCAAGGAAATTACACAAACACTGCTGTGAAGTCCATAACGGTGTGTCTCTCTTTTGGGGAAAAAAGTGGGGAGATGGAAGAACTGTTTTTTTTCCTGGTTACAAATAATTGTATTTCTGAAAAGCATGTGCCATCTAAAGAAAGTTTAGTGATGGGAGTGTTCTCACAAGGAATGTTCAAGAACAAAAAGTGCCATTTAAAAGGAAACACCCAAATACTGTTCAAATTACCGATTTTAAACCATTATTATTGAAAGGCAGGTAACTCCAACAGGCATTGTTTTAAATTACACATCCTGAGATCTAGCATGCAGTGAATATATGAGTGTAGCACAGCCCACTGACTTGCATTCTGAAAACATGTTGGACATCTGATTACAGCATTAGCTGAGTTGCATTTTATGCCATACAGAAGGAAGTAATTTATTTCTGTCACAAAAAATAATTTGCAGCACTTGTAAATTTTGTTGGTTTTTTTTTAAGGTACTGCATTTTACAGGGGGAGTTATTAGAAATTCAAGCTTTACAAACAGTTTAATCCAGTGCTTTGGAAGTAGGGTAGTCCTGGCAGAATGTCTGGGAGCTGAGCTTCTCTGAAGGCAGTAGTCAGCAGCAGAATAAAATGACCTATCTGCTAAACACGATAAACCTGTTTGAATGCTGCCTTATTAAGTTCAGTTCCTTACCAAATTACACTAAAGTTTCAGCAGATAAAACACATAAAGAGCTGTCTGACGTGGAGCTGTTTGGGTTGTTTGTCTATGTGCTCTTTCTTATTTATTTTCAGTCTACTATGCGCATGATAAACTGGCTGATTTCATCAGTACCATCAACAGGCATCTACAGCCTTTTTTTATGCAGATCCGGAAGGGACTGTCAGAAGATGACGGGAGAGCGCATTATGCTTTAGTAAGTACATGTATGATGCTGCCATCACCTGGTTTAAGTGGGGCTGTTCTTGTTATGCTGGCAGGTGCTGTAGAAGCTACTTACAGAAGAGGAAAATGGGAGGATAAACTGCCAACAACTGAGGTGCATGGAAATGGAACGTGGCAGCAGGACTGCAGCAGTGCTCATTTATTTAGCATTAACACTGCTGACGTGAGATTTCTTTTTCACAGGGGCTTTCTTTCACAAGACTAATTTTTAAACCAGAAAACACAGAGAGCCCCTGAACATAGTTTTGTCTCTTAGTCAGAAATCAACCTAGCATAAAAGGGTTCCTAAGGAATGACCTATAAAAGTTTCCCTAAATGCTGTGCATTGTGCATGTCAGAGAGGGAAAGTTATATAGGAATTTCAAAAGAGTGTACAGGAGGTATTCTAACATTAGCTGCTGCTTTAACCTTTCTGGGTCATTTTGCCAATTTAGTTGAGCTAACAATCAATAGCAGTAGCATATGCAGTAAGAATACAAAATAACAGCAACTGTTCTTCAGAGCAAAACAAGAATGGCTATTATAACATAGTTACTGCTACTGTCCAGCACAGTATCCTGGTGTTCTACTACATGGAACTAATATCCTGTATTAGAGCTATATGGGGGAGATTGGGCTGTTTAAGAGCTTCGACTGGGCAGAGAGAGCTGTGGAGAACATGTGGCTGGAAGATCAGTCCTGAAGAAACGACTCGAGTACCACCAAGTGCCATCTTTAAGGAACAGCCTCTTTCATGCCACTTAAAAAAACAACATTTCTGTGAACTGATGTATTCTTTACCCCAGAGGATCTTTTACAATTTATGGTGCGGAAACACAAAGGCAACTTTGGTGGCAATTTAAGTATTATTATTTTCTTTTTTGTAGGTGAATTTGGCAGAAACTGAAATAACTAAAATGGCATCTGACTATACCGAAAATGAATTAGAATTGTTCAGAAAAACAGTAAGTGCCTCAGCTATTAGGTAGCAAATCACATTTTTTGTGGAGGTACCATCTTAAAACACATGAAAATGGAGGTGATTTTTTCCACACTCATGAAGTTTTCCGTACAAACTGGCAAGAGGTGCGTTGCCTGTGCTGTGCCACCTGCAAAGCCTAGTCTGCATGGACAGAACCCACAGATTCCCCTGCCCTCCCCCGTAACCAGTGAAGCACCTCTGCAGGCCTGTCAGCACTGCAGTGATGGCATTAGCGTGGCACACAATCCTACTGGCTCTATATGCTGCTCTGTGATAATGGGAAGCAAATGTTTCCAGTGAGAGATTCCGCAGATTGGTAACACTGTTACAGCCTTCAAATGCCAGGTAAGTTCAGCAGTGCTGCTGACTCGAGTGTGGGCAAACTTACACTTACTTGAGTAAGGAGAGGGTTTTCCTCAAAAGAACCTTGACAAAGACCAAGTAAAAGGAAGTGGATCTCTTACCACCACGTATGCTCACGGTCCCTGAGTGCAGCTTCATCTGGCACCACTGTACAGTTGTGGAAACGTTTTCCTGGCAAGAATTAAAGCTGTCAAAGTTCTGACAGCTGTTTCAGCTTTTGGCCTTTGTGTTACAGTTCTGGACCAAGCCATACACTGTAATATATCTCCTATGTTTGGAAGCTAAAAAAGCTGCACATTACTATAAGGTGTGTCTGTCTAATTGCATGGGTGTTTTTAATAGTTGAACATATTTCTTTCTGTAGATGGACCTAATCATTTTATCAGAAAATGGCTTTGCCCCTTCTACAGATATTTTAAACTTGGCTGACCAACTTAAGACAAAGAAAATGAAGAAAAAAGAAGCGGAACAAGTGCTGAAAGTTTTTGTGGAGGATAAGTGGCTCTCTGAGGTAACTGCTGTATCTTCAAGTGTCTGTATGTTAGTAAGTGCAGCTATTACTTTCTTATGGATGAAACTGGAGCTTTCTTTAATGAATGATGGCAAAAATGTTTTTGTGGAGCATGTGCTTATTGCTGCTTCAGTGTTTGTTGCAGAAAAGGTAGTACATTGACAAGGAAGAAGTCCTTGTGTAGGTCTGTACAGGACATGATTCTAGTTCCTTGCCCATGAGCTAGGTACAGCCCTGCACTGTGGCACAGAGACCTCCTTGGTTCACAACAGCATGGCTTACTTAAACTTGGAACAAGACCTGAGGAAAGCTTTTCAGGGTGATCGGTGCCATTATGGTTAAGGTAAATGTCAATCGTAACTGTTAAGTTTATAATATCCTGAAAAGCTGTGAGGCCAAACATGTTGAAAACTCCTGTACCAGAAATGCATGGGCATAAAAATGTGCACATTTTTAAATCTCCTTTAATTTTCATGAGGGAGAAACCAAGATGAGCTTACCACAGTTGCTTGTCAGGACAAGTGAGACCTCCATCCTTTTATTTCTGGATTCCTTGCATCATAGTCTCTAGCCTGCTGCCACATGTTTACTTTTGTTAGTGATTTAGCAGAGATTTTCAAAGATACCTCAAGCAGCAAATGCCCAGATTTTGCTGAAAGCCAGCAGAATTTCTGCTAATAGGCAAATGGAAGCTCCAAAAACTGCACGTGTTTAAGGAGAGCATGCCTACTAATGCATACCTTCTTAGGACTAGATAAATCTCTGTAAAAGGTGTGAGATCTTTATTCTGATCCTCTAAACACATTAATTCTACCTCAAAAGTATTCTGACTTTGCATTGCATCAGTGTCAGCATGTTAGTTTCATGATGGCAGAAGAAAGTGGATGTCAAATGCTTGCTAGCAGGTGACCAGGAATGTCAAGAAGGTAAAAGGGATTAAAAGAAACTCCTCATCTTGCCACTTGTTTCCTTAGAGAAATGGAGAGTTTACTCTGCATACTCGCTGCATAATCGAGATGGAACAATACATTCTCAGCAACTACCAAGATGTGGCAAGGAAGTGTAACATCTGTCACAGCCTTGCCATCCAGGTAACATTTGTTTTATTACCTCAGTGGGCATCTGCCAATGTACCATGGGAGTATATCCATGTTAGTGTTTCCATCCCAGAGGTCTCCTTCATTGCAGCCAAATACCTCACCATAGGGAAATAGTTATTTCCTAGTTTCCAGGAAAATACCTCCTTTATCATTTAGCAGCTTTGAGTATCCACCAGCTCTACTTTGGAATGCCCCAGTGCGTGTCTGCTGCCCTTTTAACAAGATTAAACTGAAGCACAGATTATAAAGATTTTCAATGCTTTTGATTTCAGAGCCAAGTATGTGAATCCTGTGGAATTGGAATGCATTTACCTTGCATCAGAAAGTACTTTAGAGCTCAGACTGAACCTCGCTGTCCACAGTGTAATGATTTCTGGACTTGTGACATTCCAGGTACCAAGAACCTATTTAAAACAAAAACAGATGAGTATAGTAATACTCAAGAAGGGGCTGATACTCAGGGCACTGCTTATGTTAGTAACAGCTCTAGCAGGGTTGCCAGTTATTTCTGACTTCAGTTGTATGTTTCATAGAGAAAACCATACAGGGGCAACACTGAGCCCTGAAAACACCAGGGTTATGCCTTGTGTCATGAGCAGGTAACGTGCATATTGTTTGTAACAGGAGAGCAGGGGACACAGCACCTTTGGAAATACTGAGCTCCCAAGACCACCACGATCTCTTTGGAATTCCTTTATTTAGCCAGGGAAACTGGATACTGAACAGGAACACAGGAGTGTATAAAGCATTTTAGAAATCTGGAGGTTATATAGTATCAACCTTTTTTATGTGTCTGTTATTGACCTTCCTTTTGTTTTTTTCACAGGAGTGAGTCGCACGGACACCCAGTCACCACCAAAACCAGCGCGAACAGAGAAGAACTTCGTGCTCAGCACGAGACGATCCTAGGAAAACTGGATTTTAGTAAAATCTCTTCCCCACTCCTGCGGAACAGCCAGGCTTGTACTGTATTCATTAGCAACAATGCAGAGGTCAGTGTGCTTGGTTTTTCCTCAAGCTTTTAAGAATTTTACAATAAAATTATCATTGACCTTCCTGTTCTCCTTCAGTTATGCCTGCACAGCTCTCTTGGAGGTTGTTGTGTTTGTAGTTCTCCATGCTCTTGGGCTGGGACACAACTGAAAATGAAACCTGTTCCTAGCACCACAGGGCTTCAAGCAGCTGAAAAATCAGTGCAGTACTTGTGGTGTCGCACTGAGGTGGACAGCTGAATATCTGACCTAGGGCTAGAGTCTGAATGCTTTCAGTGGGCACTGTTGCTTGGGTTTTTTTCCTTCTGGAGACACAGGAGAGTTCATCAAACAAAAGGACAGTTTGTGAGCAGCTGTGCTTAGTAAAAGAGGGAATATTCCCACAGTCAAAATGATTGGGCGGGAGCCGGACAGAACTGGGGCAATGGCAGCTTTTGTATGTGAAGTGTGGAAAAAAAAATGTAATTAAAATTAGCTTTTGGTATTAGCACTTCACTGTCCAGTTTTATGCAAGGATGCTTTTTGCTCTAATAGTGACTTAAAAAAACAGAAGCATCAAATCTTGCCAGGTACCAGTGTGGAACGGCAGCATATCTGCAGAAGGCAGATATTCAAATCATGATTAAGCTTCAGTTTATTTAACTGCAATTAAACTGTGGATTAGCCACAATTAATTATGTTCCTAGGTCTTAACACTTGTAACTTTCTGTGTATAGGAGACTGGTATCTTGCTACCTTTGGGTAGTACCATCCCTCACTGGGATTTAAATCCTGCTTGTGTAACTCCCAGTTTGTTGTTAAATCCAAGTAGAAGATAACACTAACCTGATGTGCCAAATACAGTTAGAAGCAGAGTCCTGGCAGCGGCCATAGATAGAGCTGTTTCAGATACACACACACATGATGATAACCTAACATATGAGGCGTTCATATTTGAAACACCCACAACAGTAAAGTGGCTGCAGCATCTTCTTTCTGTTTATCCATCCAGATTCTTTCACCATGCTGAAGCACGAGTTTGTTGGGTTTTTCAATCGACCTCTAACTTCTGGATAGGGAAGAACATTCTTGTACTCAAGACGAATTCTTAATTCCTGTTGCAATGCTAACAGACTTTCTGCATGCTTCAGAGCTATGACCACCAGAAGCTGACTGAGAAGCTGACATCAAGCGATCGTACATAGTGCCAATATTTAACTGGAATAAACAGAACCTGTCCAGGCATCAGAACACAGGATTGAAACGCAGCCTTTCTGAAATTGGGAAACTTAACTAAGTCAGGGTCTTCCACATCAACCTATGAAAAACCAAAACAATCCATCATCAGTAGCATCTCTTTTCTCAAATTCAATTTGATAAAACAACATTTTACTGATATTAAAATTTCAGGTAACTATTTACCTGACTGGTGTTGTGAAGAATTTGACTTTCATGTGGGTACAGGTTTTCTGAATCTTGTGGTGAATACAGGCGGATATACTTCCTTCCAAATACCTGTGTATATGACAGTAAACATTTTCCATGTGTCATTAACCTGCACATTACATTACAAACTGTGGCCAAGGCTGGCACTTCAGAGTAAAATAGACTGGATTACAAGAAACATCATTGTCTTTGTTCACAATAAACAGACACTGCTATAATATAAAGTTAAATCAGAGTATTGGAGCTGTAAAAACTCACATTAGGCAGGCCTGAATTAAACCTCAGTACAAGTGAAAACACAGGTTAGCAAGATGCAACTGTTTGGGACAGAGGAACTAAGCCTCAACCCACAAATAGACAAGTAGAAAGCATTCAACACCATGATTCTCCTGGAAGATGTTTCAAAGTGTAAGCCATTTAAGAAACAGCAAACTCCTTCCAGTAAACACAAATCCCATCAGGGTCTGAAGCTGTCAGCTGCCTGGACCAGGAATACATCTTTGAACTTGTGTATAGACATACCACACAGGGCCCCGGTGCGTAACTGTGTCACTCTGAAGCCTACAAACAGCATCTCCCTTAGCAGCAATGAGGTCACGGTGCAAATACTACTTCATCTGACTCAGTGCATGCATGAGTAGGTATTTTACCAGGTAGCCTGAAGTTGTTAAAGTATGCACCTATATCCACCCCAAAATCTTCCAGTTACAAAAAAGCAAATTCCTTGGTATACTATGACAGGATCTATGTTCTTTCCAACTCTTACAAAATCTGTGTGTGACCTTGGAAAAGCGGCTTCTTGTGATTCCCAATTATCATCTGCAAAATGAAGATAAGTAATGATCTATCTCAATGAGGAGCACTTGTGGCCTACAAGATTAAGCTGCAATAGCAACTAATGCAATAAAATAGCAAAACAATATCTGCATATTCCCTACCCTTCAATTGTTCATCAAGTTGTCTGCTACCCTTGTCTCTAGCACTTGCACACCGTGAGCACTTTTCCTAGGTAAAGCATTAACGGCACCTACAGAGTAATCACAGTACAGACCTGGGCTAAAAAATTTTGCTGGGGATCCTGATGGAGAGGTGAGATGGTGCCTTCTGGACCAAACCAAGCGTTGATGGTGATGTGCTCTTCCTCCCCTTCCCCCAGGCAGCAGTAGTCAGGGATACTGATATCTTCTTTCAGTTCCGGGATCTATTCCCATAAAGAAATGGACATTAAAAGGGTTTCTGCTGACTTGCTAAAGGTATGTCATTCACAGACCAGAGGAACAAGGCTTGACACAAAGAAAACAAATGACCTGCTTGTCCAGCAAAGGCGGGAGAGAAGTAGCTGAACTGCTAGGAACCTGCAGGAAATGTCCTCCCACCTTCTTTCCTAGCAAGCAGATTCTGTTGGAAGGAGAGGTGGGAGAAAGAAAGGGGTTTCTCATTCTTCAGAGAATCTCTGCAAGATCCCTTTTTACATCTCCCATCAACCTCATCTCTGGTTAATGGGAATGACATTTCAGAATATGGTGAACATATCACCACTGAAGTCCGTTTCTTGTCCAAACCTATTCCCTGATTTACATATTCTTTAGGGAAATGCTGCTTTCCAGTTGATATCCCTATATGTTTATGCTGCATTATATTGAAAAGGACTAAGACCGAATGTCTTCACCCCTGAAAGAGAATTTTTTTTTTCCATGCCTTTCAGCCAAATGGAACAAACCCCTCCCTCTGTTCCTTCAAACTGTGGGACTAGAAACATAAGAAATACTGTGAATTCTCCACATGCCCTTCCATCTAGCAGAGTTGACATCCTCAGAGATGACAAAGGGAACACTGGACTGCAGAAAGATAAAAACATTCACTTGGTTTTACCTGATCAAAGAGCTGGTGCTGGGCAAGGTATCCCACACTCTTCTGACATCACAGCAGAGAAAATAAAAACCAGAGAAACAGAGAGTGACACATAGGTAAGAATTCTCAATTAATTTTCTTATAGGTGAGCAGAATTTACTTATAGGAAACCACCATTTCCGATGTCTGTTTCAGAGTACTGGAATTGTTTCAGCAGTTGACTAGGATAAGGGGTCTTCTGAAATAGTAACTTCCAGCTATTGCAAAAAGGCAAGTGCAGCTGTATCCCCACCTCCAACACATGAGCTCGCCCAAAGCAGCCCAGTGATAACCCTGCAGCGCCCACCAGCTCTGCTGCCAGTCCTGTGACAGTGCTCTGCATCATTACTGCCAGGCCCTGCTGGAACACAGACCTCTGTAAGCATCCTGGATTCCAGGCTATACCACAGACCATGTGCACATGGTCCTCCCTGCCAGAAGGCTTGGAAATGGAAATGAGGGCTTTGGATCCTCAGCTGGGAAAGTCAAGGGACATTCAATTGCTAACCAAGTCTTTATTCTTTTAACTGGTGGCACAGGAATTTGGATCCTGCATCTCACTAAGCAGTTTAATAACCAAGAGAAACAAAACTGCTGGCTTGAGTATCCCTTATCCTTAGACTCTGCCATTCAGGTTTGTGCTGCAGAAGGTATTCATCTGTTCATCAAATTCCAGCTGCTGTACACTTGATTATATATAAAAATCAAACCTAGCTATTGTTACAATAACTATTAGCAGGTTCAGACCTTGAAAACATCAAACCTTCTACAGCACACCCCTCCCTGACTTCACCTAAGCAGAAATTTGGTACCAGTAACACATTGCTGTATGAACCAAAATGAGAGTAACAAACCTCATTCACAATATACTGGCTGATGAAGTCACCAACAGTCATGAGCTTCTGAGACCATTCCTCATCTGTGTATCGGGTGCCCAATTCCACAGGCACTGTGCGGCACCCAGCGACTTGACAGAAATAGTCCACACTGAAATAAAGAAAGTTCCATTACCCCTTTATTCTGCTGCTCTTACTGATTCTGAATGCAAGGTAATCGAGCAAAATCAATCTTTTAGAGTAATAAAGCTCTATTACCGTGAGGTTTTTCTCTCTAAAACCAACCAATGAGACACAAAAAGGCACCAGAAAAGGACGGAAGCAGCAAGGAAACAAGCAGTCAGGTTTGTGTGTACATTATGCCACAATGTCCTTCTTGTTTTGTTTCCAAACCTTGTTTACCTCAGTTAACTATTGCTTCCTACCAGCTGAGATGTAAGCTGTTAGTCCCTCTTGCCTAGAGATGTCTTATCTTTCTACTGCCTGCTGCCACATTTCCTAAACACGTTTTACGTTTTCATCATTGTGCCAGATCAGCTCTCCATCAGGGCCAAACTCTGTTGCAGGTGGCAGTAATACCCATCCTGGCTAAAGGTGGGGGAATTACTTTGGAGGATGGCATACACCTCACCACTGACAATGACGTTCACTAAACAGAGATATTCATCTTTTTAAGTGTCTGAAGTTAAGCAGTGGAAAACCTTCCCTCAAAACAGAACAAACCCCCTGTGAAACAAGTGCGTTTGGTTAACGTCGATTTCACCCTTGGCTGTGGAATGAAAGCAACTGCTTGAACTAAGCAGAAGTGTTGTTTCCCCTTTTCTAGGGAATCATGAGCTCACAAACACCCGATTCTCAGTGCTGGAAACGCTGGCTCCGTCGCTTACAGGGCACAGGCAGCACAGTTACCGCTCGCTGCTGAATGCCGGTGTCCGGAACTCAGCACTCAAACGCGCCTCACGAAGGAGCCGGTCGCACCGACCCGCACCTCCGCAATTCCCTTTGCGCGCGCCAAACCCCGCTGCTGCGCCTGACCCCGGCGCGCTCGGCTCGCTGGAGCGCTCAGCGGCACGCGGCGGCTCCCACGCCATACCGGCCACAGAACGATCCCACAGGACAGGGCTCAGCCTCCCGCTCCTCACCTCCACTTCCTCATGCACGGCCAGTGGTCCATGATCCCCTCCAGCACCACGGGCTTCTGCGGGATGAGGTAGTTGTCTCGGAAGTGCTCCAGCGAAGGGCACCGCAGCCGCGGGACCGCGTCCTCCGGCCGCACGGCAGGGGCGGGGCGGGGCTCGGTCCGGGCGCTCTGCAACACCGGGGCTGGGTCCCGCAGCTGGCAGCGGCGGCCCCGCCGAGCCCCGGGGGGGCAGAGCAGGGAAAGAGGGGGCGGCGCGGGGGAGCGCGCGGGGGGGCCGGGCCCCTCAGGCCGTACCTCAGCGGCCAGCCCGGCCGCGCCGCGCCGCTGCTCCCGGGGCAGGTGCTGCTGCAGGACGCGGACGAGGCGCGCGAGGACGTTGTCCAGGACGGAGGCGCCCATGAGCAGCCCCATGTCGCAGAGGCGGACGGCGGGCGCGAGCGGGCGGCCCGCGGCGACCTCGGCCAGCGCCCCGAAGAGGCAGCCGTAGGCGTAGACCTGCCGCCAGGCCTTGCTCACCTCCCGCCACGGGCCCGCGTTCAGCTTCTCCCACGAGTAGTCCCGCAGGACGTCGCCCAGGCGCCGCAGCGCCGCCGCCGCCTCCCCGCCGGGCCGGCCCTCCGCGTCGTACAGCAGCCCGCGGGCCCGCCGCAGCAGCGGCCGCACGCAGCCGTCCACCTCTCCGCTCAGCGCCAAGGTGAGCGCCTCCTCGCTGCCGGGCAGCAGCGCCCACACCTCGGCCCAGAGCGCGCCGCCCGCCGCGGGGCCGGCAGCCGGGGCCTCCCCACCAACGGCTGCCGCCATGGCAGCGCGCGGCTGCCGCGCCTGCGCGTGTCCCGGGGGCGGGGTGAGGCGGGGCAGGCCCCGGCGGAGCTGCCGGCACGGGGCGGGGCCGCTCTCCTGCGGCTCGATCCCGCCCCCGGCTCCCTTCCACGTTAAAAACCCCACTACGGCGCCTCAGGTCCGTTCTGGTCCGGAGCATCTCACCGCCCGGTTCCTCATGTAATCGGCTTTGCCTCCGCAGCCCTGAAGGGAGCGGCAGCGGGCTCAGTGGGGTGAGGCGAGCGGAGCCTTCCCTTTCGGAGGTGTTGGTGGTTCTTCGGCTTAAAGAGTCCGTGAAGCTGCAGCGCAGGTCTCCGCGGGCAGTGGAGCACCGGTAAAAGTCTCTCCAGGCAGGGCTCTTTGGGCTCTTGTCCAGTGGCTCTGTTGGGATTCAGTAACTCTATAACTGGTGCAGCTGCTTGTGTTAAAGAGAAGCATGTAAATCCGATGTAGTCTTATTTCTGCTGTACCTGGCACCTTAACTATGCAGCCACGGTATGAGGAAGATAGCTGTTTTCGCTTTGGAAGTCTCCCTGTTCCGAAAGTGAGATAGCTATTCACAAGTAGACGACTACTGTAAGATGAGGAGATGCTCTAATCAATGTTGTTCTCAAGTATTAGAAAGAAAGCCTGTCTAGGACCTTGTGTGCTGAGCTGAGTAACCTGGGAGGAGCCTGGAAGCGTCTGGGCTGAACCCTGCTGGGAGGCAGTGTCCTTTGGGTTGTTCATGCTGCGTGGTTTTAACCTATACTTAGGTCGTGCTTCCTGTGTGGAATATGCACCTCAGCCTTGTAGCGCACTTCACACAATGTCTTTCAGCCCCCCTTTGCTTTGATAATGTGTCCTGAGCATGTTTTCAGTACTTCATATGGGGCTGTAAATACTATTTTGCTTAAAATTCAGCAATTCTGAGGAAAGTCTTAACATCACGAGCCAAAATTTAAAGCAACATAACAAGAAATGAGGAGTTTGTAACTTATGTGGCAGTGTCGCTTGTCTGGGATTGAAATCTGGCTTGATGCAAAATCTTACTTTTACAGAAAAAAGTTAAACCCACCACCTTTTGTACTGAGAGAGCACCCATTCCTCTGTCCCCTCTGCTCAGTGGCTACTAGTGTCTCTGAAGAAAGAGTTGCTCTGAGTCCTATCGCTGCTGCTCATGCCTCTTCTCTGCCCCATTTCCTGCTGTCTGGTTTGAATGACTTCCATCACACTTCAGCAGCTTATCCTGCTGGCCCGTCTGTCCTCCACCTCCTTTCTCTTGGCACCTGAATTCGTCCTGTGACTGTGTGATTTCAGCACCTTCATTTAGAATTTTCTTCTTTTTGATTGCTAAATGTTAATTTATGCTGCTGTAGGGGAAGTATTGAGCTGTCAAGGAAAACTTCTTGTTAGACCTTGTGTTCAATATTTGTAGTTTGTTTTTTTTTCTGGGCTTGTGCTTATAGACTGCCCAATTTTTATTGCCATTTTTAGTAACTTTTATTCCTCTTTAATTTTGTTCATACAATTCTTGCCTAATGGTAGTTTGCCTAGCTTAAATGCTAGGGTTTTTTTTCCCCAAAAAAATGACATTTCAGAGGTTTGGATTTTCTTTCTGGTATTTTAAATAGCACCAACTTCTGAACATGCTATCTCTAGTGCAATGGTAGGGCATTAAGTTTATGATGAGCTTTATCAGTTTTAGTGTAGGTGAGGAAGTTTTGGGTAGATTTTAGATTTTGGGTATTCAGGGAGGTTCAGTGTTTCTCTAGTTATTTCCAGTCAGTCACATTTTGGTACAATGGTTTAAATGGTGACATAGCATCAATAGTCTTGAAAGGGCTGAGCTGTGTATCTGCTAAGCTAATAAGGGCTGGTTTTCAGATGTGAAGCCTTGTTGTAGTGTGTGAGTTTGGCTTTTAGTCTGGGAGGAAAATCCACTAAAAGCTCATAATACTGTGCTCTATGTTAACAATTTGTTGGAATTGTCTTTATTGGGAAAACCCCAACAGATCTGCAGAAGCTGAACTGGGAAGTTTTGCTGTCAGAGTAATTGACCTTGCAGTACATGTGTACTAGTGTAGAAATGGCTGTAAACTAATGCAGATGGGGGGTTTGTGAGCTGTCTGACCAGGGAGCAGAGCACTTCAGTGCTAGATGTTTCCATTTTAAGTCAGCAAGAAATAATTTAATTCCTGGTGCCAGCTGGCAAAGGTTATTGTCACCTGTGTAACCTGCAGAAGTGATTGTGGGTTAGGCTACTGCCACTGAAAGGTGGGCTGGCCTCATCAGAAGTAAATTCTTTAAAGGCTGTGGAGGCTAAACTGCCTAACCTTGCAGGAAGATGTCCCTTCTCAAACACAGAGGAAACCATTTCTTCGCTGCATCTTCCTGTGGCATAGTCTGCAAAGCACTGCTTTTACTCTTTTATAGTCTGTGTGGATTCTAAATGTGGAGCACACCCTCACTTTCTCCTAGCACTGACATCCAAAAAAGAAATGACCCAGTTAACTCCCCAATAAAGAGCATACAGCACAGCTAACAAAGCCTGATGAACCATCTGTATTTCCTCTGTTTGCAGTCAGGGATTCCAGGTCCCATGGTTACTTGATGTTACCTTGTCTGCCACTGATGTAAAAGTGGTCAGTTACACCAAATACCAAACCCCGTGCTTTGTATCTTATTTTGCCTTTGTGTTTATTGGGAAGAGCAAGTGTTTGGCCTTGCTTTAGCCTTGGTTCAGAATATAAAAATTATTTATTTGTAGTAAATTCTCTTTTGTAACACTCTTTCCTCGTTTACTCATTTGATATAATGAACAAAGGCAATTGGTTTTGGATTTTATGAACATAATCTCAAGACACATGCTCAGTAATTCAGCACTTCAGTCCTGAGCAGGATGGTTTTTACTAGGTGGATCAGTTTGTGAAATGACAGCATCTGCTTGCTTGTACACATTTATTTATGACTCTTCCCCAGGTGAGTGTAGCAGGTGGCTGGAGAGTAATAACCAGCTGTTGAAATTAGCAGCAAGGGAAAGCAGTTACTTGATCTGTGAAGGAGTGTGGGAGCCAAGGCCAGAAGTAACAGAAACTGAACAGATGCCCCAAATACATAAACCTGAGTAGGGCTGTGTAAATTACTTTGCTGATGGGCAGAGCAGTGTCAGATGAGTTGACTTTGGCGTTTTCATTAAAGATGAAATGTTCTCTAGCACTGTGTGGCATCCAGCATTCAGAGGTGTGATCCTGGGATCTCTGCGGTGCTCAGCTGGCATGAGCCGTGGTGTGCAGGCACACAGCTCTCTCTGGTGGCTTCTGGCACTTGACAGGACACAAAGCCTGTCCTGAGCGTTTGTGTTCCCTTCCACCAGGACTTCTGGTTTCCTAAGCAGCAGTTTACATCGTGCTCCTCAGTTACTGCAGGTACTCTTAAATCAAATTTCTGACAACAAACAAAAAATGTATGTTGTTGGTACAGGGCCTTCCTCTTTTGTAAAGATGAGAAACCAAGGTGAAGCTATGGAAGTTTCACTGAAACTTTCCCAACATTTCATAATGTTTTGATGGTTGTCTGGGTATTTTATAAATCACATGTCTATAAAAATGAGTATGTTTGAAGATATCTTATCTTGCCATTAGCTGGCATAAGCTGTGTCTCTGTGGTATGTAAAGTGGGACCCTCAAACCTCTAAACTAATTATTTATACAAAGGAAAGAGGGTCTAGCAGTATTTAAAGCGGGCTATTAAAGAAAAGGACTCTGTAGTCATGTGAGGCGAGCACAGATCCAGAATTTCATGATGCCTTTGAGCGGAAAGCATAAAAGTTCAAAACCAACCTGGAAGATGAAGCCTATCCTGTTCAGGGCATGAGGACCAAAGTGAACCTTGCAGAGGTCCAAGGTTTGCAGCCACATTTTTAACCATGCGGTGTTTTGATGATGATTAATGATTGCAGTTGTGAGTTGGAGGTAGTAGGTAACAAGCTTCTGGTGTAAGTTACTCTGATTACTTAATAAGCAAGGATGGAATCAACTTTAAAAAGGTATCATGGTTTGAAGTTGTATATTAAACATTTTATATGCATTTTATGTTTGTGCCCCAGTTCTAGATTCTCTGTTACAAAAGCTAGAACTTAAAATTCTGGTTGATTTTATTAGTTTGCCTACTTGAAAAGAAAGCCTTACTATAACCAAGAGTCTCATTGGCATTAAGAGGTTGTGAATATTGTTTAGCACCCTTGTTCTCTGCAGTAGTGTTTCCGTGAGATGATGGTAGTGAGTCCCTGCCAGCTGCCAGCACCAGCAGGATGTGTGCAGCTTCCCTGCCTACTGTAGCAGAAGTGCCTGCAGTGTTAGCAGTGCCCTGTCTGCAGGGCAGGGATGAAGGGGCTGGAGGGCTGCTCCTGCTTCTGTCCTGCCGTATGTGCCCTGGGGTAAGGAGGCTGTTTCCGCTTCCAGGAGCGGTTGGCTGCTACCTCCCTTGAGCAATGTTCTCGTTTAACAACTCCCCCCTCTAAAAAAAAGGTAGTGTGTTTTTTTTGTGATTTTTTTTTTTTTATTTTTTTTTTTTTTTTACAAGAAGCGACAATGGTTGGTGATGTGTGCCCTGGCCCTTCGTGGAGTGTAGATTGAGGGTTGCTGCAAGTGGTATCCTGGCTGAGTCTGGATTTGCATTACAGGGCATGAAAGGCTGTCTCCCTCAGCGAGAATGAAAGTATAATGAACACACAAGATTTTGGATGTCTTTCCTGGGTGCTTTTTCTTTTCCTGTGAACAGGAGATGAAAAGTGATTCTGCTTAATAACATGTAGACAGTTAATTGTTCTACAAGAGTTATTTTCTGCAGATGAGCAGGGTCTTCCTGCTCAAGAGTGACCCTGCCATGCATTTCAGTTGTATTCTAGAGCTGAGTGTAATTGCAGAGTGAAAGTGTGATGAGGGCTCTGTCTTTATCAACCTGTTCCCCACATTGTGTTTTTATCAGTGCCATCTGCTGTGCCAAGAGTGGCAGCTGCCAGGTC